TGTTGCGTGCATGTAATTGCCTTTACAAAATGAGAAGTTATGACACCTTAACTGTGCATGGGACACTACGCTTTGAAATGGTACACTAAGAGTGCCCAACATTTGGGGATACCCCTCAATTGGCGCAAATTAAATATTTCACTGTTCGCGATCCTCTAAATGTGCAGCGGCGGAAGACAAATGGTCGCTAAGATAGGGATGTGGCTGACAGGTGAATGCCAATTTGGATAGTACCTCTAAAGAGTCACCTGCAGAGTGTGTACCACCCCGTACCGCTTAGATGTGCGATTACTCGAACTCGATCGTCGCAGGAGGCTTGGAGGAAATGTCGTAGAGAATCCTGTTGACTCCCTTGACCTCGCTGAGAATACGCGTGGAGATTTTCTCCAAAATATCGTACGGAATTTTATACCAGCTGGCGGTCATGAAGGAAGACGTTTTAACTGCCCTGAGCGAACACACATAATCGTACGACCGTGCATCCCCCCTTACACCGACAGATTTGGTGGGCAACAGAACAGCAAAGGCTTGGCTGATTTCATTATACAAATTATAAGCCTTCAAATCGTTGATAAAAATATCGTCCACTTCTCTGAGGATACTCAATTTGTGCTTGTCAATTTCTCCGATGACCCGGATGGCCAATCCAGGCCCTGGAAACGGATGTCTGTTTGTGATTTCCTCTGGCAAATTTAACTCTTGTGATAATTTCTTCACGTCATCTTTGAAAAGATATTTAAAAGGTTCAAATAGTTTGAATTTTAAATTCTCTGGTAGCCCTCCCACATTATGATGCGTTTTAATCGTGTCGGACAGACTCTTGGAACACTTGCTTTCGATAATATCTGGATATAAAGTACCTTGTAGCAGATACGTTTTGTCAATATCAATGTTTATGTTCTTTACAGCCTTTTCAAATTCTTCGATGAATAATTTTCCGATAATTTTCCTCTTCTTCTCCGGATCGGTAACACCTTTTAAGTTATTTAAAAAATTTTCCGATGCATCAATTTTGGTTAAGTTCATATCTGGGAATAGGCCCTTTAAAAAAGAGTATACTTTTTCTCCTTCGTTTTTTCTTAACAATCCATTATCTATGAAGATGCCATAAAATCTCTCTTTGAATATTTTATGTGTAAATGCAGCAGCGACAGTGCTATCGATTCCCCCAGACATGGCAGCAAGTACGTAATGGTCCTTTGCGTATTTCTTTATATTGTTCAGCTCCATTTCGTGATATCGAATTGGATCGAATTTTTTCGTGCATTTACAAATATTGTAGGCAAAATTGTAAAACAGCTGATCTCCATCCACAGACTCGTACACCTCAGGGTGGTATTGCACTCCATATATATTATGTTCTTCATTGTACATGGCACATATTAAGCAGTCATCAGTCGAATTTACAAGGAAAAAATTGTCTGGCATTTTGGTCACTTCATCTGTATGGTTCATCCATACGGTACTTTTCTCTGCGTTTTTTATGCCATCAAAAAGGATACATTTGCTGCCTTTTCCATCTGCGTCCACCAGTTTGTAATTTTTATATTTCTCTTCACTCCTGTTTTTACTTGTTATTATGTTCACGTCGGTACATCCATATTCTGAATTTTTGGACTTTTTAACTTCACCATTCATCTGCACAGCAATTTCTTGCATTCCATAACAGATGGCAAAAATGGGGATTTTTTTTTCCAAAAAATATTTCAACACTTCTTTCTTCAAGTGAGGCGCATTCTCCTCGTTAACGGAGTAGGGGCCTCCAGACAGAATGACTCCCTTGATGTTTAACTCTTCCACTTCCTTCACGTCAATGCCATAGTCCCTCGTCTCGCTAAATATTTTGATGTTATTTAGTCGCTTCACGATCAGGTGGAAGTACTGCGAACCGAAGTTCAGCACCAGTATCTTGTCGTAGTCACCGCCCTCCATTACGGAAAAAAAGAGGGGTGTCTGCCAAAAAAAGGGGGGTGATGGCTCAGAAGGGTGTGGCACAGGTCTTTGGTAGAAGATCAGAAGAAGCAAAGCTGATGTAGAATCTACGGATGCCGCTTTGTTCCAGTCCCTGAACCCGCAGCGCCCACAAGCTGAATTGTAGAGTGTGACTAAGGCTTAGCTAATCGTTCGATGAATTAGTACGCGATGTGGACGAGGCCGTTTTTATGTTCCCCTGGGGAAAACGGGTGGGCATTATGGAGTTTTGCTAAGTCGGGGGGTACTTAAGGACGAAGAGTATACATATGTAAGAGTCATATACTTATGGGGCATGTATATATGTATGCGCCAGGTATATATACAAATGTACGTGGTATATATATATGTGCACAATCGTACATATGCTGGGGCCTGTATCTCTTTTGGCGAGCACTCAGGGGCGATGCTTCTTAATTTGCATCTTGCGCGGGAGGAATAACTTAGTTCACAAAGAGGGAAAAAGAAAAAAACGAACATATGGAAGAAGGCGTTTTTTTTTTTTTTTTTTTCATGAAGTTACAATTACGCAGAGAGGAACGGAACCCATTATTTTCATTAGAACCTCCCCCAGAGGCATGCCCATCGTATCAGATTATGCAATTTTTCATCTTAAATTTTGTTTTCCTATTCTAAAAAAAAGCATCGCGGGGAAGAGAAGCTGTGGAGAAAAACCAAATTATCGTAATTATAGGCTGTGAATTGTACTCACTCTAGCCATCCGAAATGAACCATTTGTGAGTTGCGTCACAATATAAGGGGCAAAGTTAAAATGGAAATTTTTTTTTATTTCATAATATGTGCATGTGAATGTAAAGAACGAGCCCCCTACCCCTTGTGCATCTACTATAAATGTAAAAATGTGCATAACTGTTTTATAACCACTCGGGTGGACCCTTAAAGAAGTAGCCATTTCTCCCAACTGAGAAAAATTTAAACAAGACAAAGGGGTCAAATGTGCAGAAGTGGAGAAAATGCACACATGTCAAGAGCTTATTTTCCCTCCGTTGGAGTATACCTTTTGATTTATTCTTTCAAATTGTATCTTCTATGTACTGCCTTTGATGTGTTTTGCAGAAGATATAGAGGTTCGCCAATGGCATCTCACGCGAATGCATTTCCAAGCATCTAATTTTAGGTAGCCGCCTTACCAAGCCAAGGTGCCTTTTTCTACCGATTTCGCCTTTAGAAAAAAATCCCTTTCGCTGGCATGAAGAGAGACATTTTGGGGAAGCGCCCAGAGATATATGTGCATATGTATGTCCAAATGTATAAATACGCGTATGCCCATGCATATGCGTGGAGGCTTACACTTCTCCCTACGTGTAGCGCTTGGTGCTCTCTCCCGCGCAACTTTCGTCAGTTTTTTCCTCCACTGTGAAAATTTAAGGGAAGTAGAAATGGGCATGGAAAAACCTGACGACACAAAGGCAAGGTAAAAACGGAAACGATTCCTTATTCGTGTTAAAAAATTAGAAAAAAACTCGAAGCAAAAAAAAAAAATTATGAGCGCTGCTAAATCGGAGGGATATTTACTCTATACGCTTATTTTTGTATGCCATTATTTTTCCCTTAAAGGGGATTTCCTCGCATTCATCACAAGCAACTACTTTTTTTTTGTTTTCTCCATTTTTTGGAAATTCAATGGTAGAAAATGTAATGTAAAAAAATTACTTTAACACGGCTCGTTCTTTTTCACGACTGATGGTTGTATGGCAATGCGGCTTGCGGTCATCTACAAGGCGAATACCACGTAAAAGCGCAATCTGATCATTTTTATCTGTCTGTGAGTGGGAGGATTGTTCTTTACCAAAAAAAAGAAAAAAAAAAAACACAAAACAGAAAAAAGAAAAAACAAATACTGCAGGAACATTTAACCCTTTGCAGTGACGTTTACGTCTGCATAATAGGATAAAGCCGCGACAGTCTAATTGGGGCGCGTCCCATTTTTTATCTTTCTTCGAAAAAAAACAGCTTAACAAGGGCAGAAAACCAAACTAAAAGTCAATCTCAAACTAAAACTGAGACTCAGAGTCAAGGTCCAAACTCATTTGGGAAAAGAACAAAAAATGAGCAAGCCAAGTCAAACGGGTTTTTAAAAAATGCAAACACGTACTACAATGGGAGGATCGGGGTTCTGCACAAGTATGGAAAAAAAAAAAAAAAAAAAAAAAAAAAAAAAAAAAAAACAATAGGAAGGTACAGCGATGAAACTGTAAATAAATAAGAAATAAACGCAAAATGGATACAAAAAATATATGTACAAAGAAAAGAAGCATAAACATATGACAGTTTTTCAAAAGAATGTATTTTCGTAATACTTCCCTCAACCATATGCTGCTCCTGTACTAGGTAATTCCAAAGCTCTATTTTTAATTTCCATTTTTGTACGGGTTATTGCGAAGATGAAAAAAGCACAACGCCCCCTAACCCGTTCCACGCGCGTAATTTTGAAACACTGAAAATTTGCGCGAGCTGAAAAAGTGCGAGCTCTTGGCTGGAAAGAGAAGGTGCGCATTTCAATTTATGCCCAGGGTGACACGAATGAGGGGCTACATGAGTATACATGGATGCGTACGTACAGACATATGCATGTGAATATAAGAACATATATGTTACGTGGGGAACCGACCCAATTCCCCTTGTATTTCTTCTACTCTTGTCACTCCATCAAACACTATTAATATAACAGCCTCCCTTGAGCGTTTCCTTTTATGTCCTAACCGCTGAGAGAAGAACGGCATTTTGCGTCCCTCCACCCCCCGTTTTTTTCCGTTACAACCGCATGACAACCATTATCCCTCATTGGGAATGCACAACATAGGGAAATATACATACCTAGTTTTATGCTTCCCTAACCATTGACTCCGTCCTTCTCCTTTTTCAACTTACCACGATGAAATTGTTCTGCTAAATTTTGTCAATAAGGGTTTCTATTCCTTTTTCTTCTTCTTTTTTAATTAAAATCTGCTTTTTTACGTTATCGTATTATATTATACTTTCTTGCATTTTCTTATTTTATTTTTTTAATGGATACGGGAAAAATATTTTTGCCCCCTAACATAGCTCTGCCGTGTAAGTTAAAATGGGCTGTAGATAACAACAGCATAGTTAGCTCGAATCAAATAATTGCATTTCTCATTGAAACGGGGAACGACCGCATTGACGCGGAGCGAACGGGAGAATCTCACACGCAGAGACCCCTCATAGGCCAGTGGCCCACAGACGAAGGCTCTTCCGAGCGGAGGAACTTCCATTTGGGAAGCAACGAAGCGGACGTTACACCCTATGGAAAATCAAAAAACGGAGAAGAAGGAGCAACCCGATTAGCCACTCAAAATGATAACAACTGCGAAAATACGCTCACGAATGTGTGTGAAGAAATACGCAGCAGTGTAGGAGATCATTACACAGAGAATCTTCTAAGAAGAGACTCGGTCGATGGTGTAGCTAGCCAAGGTACATTTCCAGACAGGGAAACAAGCACAGACACAGGAGACAACCTCGATGTAGGAAATAATCAATCGGAGGAAAGAAGAAACGAATCGACAAATGAAAAAAATAACTTCATTAATTTAATTCTAAACAATAAGAACAATTGTGACATTAAAAAAAACAGCTATGTCACCTTGCGAAGTAGCAGTTATGGCAGAATCCGCATAATAAAACAGAACCCGTTTTCGGAAAAGGACGAATATATCCACATTAACAGTCCGAATGAATTGTTATGCGAAATTAGTGATGAGAGGTGCAACCACGAAGTGATTTTCTCGGGATTATGTACCAATTGCTTCTTAAATCAGGAAGAGATTAACAAGAATAAAGAAGAACAGAAATATTTCTTGTCCCCTGGGTTTTTAACCAACGAGAAGGAGCTGTACATAAACACAGATAAGGTCATCGATTTGGAGAAGGAACGAATTAGTAACATCATTAAGAATAGAAAATTGTGCCTGGTGCTTGACCTGGACAACACCTTGCTGCATGCATCTTTTTTTGTTATCTCGATAAATATTAACAGCGATGTGATAAACATTACGACAGATATTGACGAGGAGTTGGAGGGTGAACTGGGGTGCGCAGGGGGGGGTGACAAAGATGGTGGAAAATGTAGTGGCAACGGTGGTGGCGGCAAAGAGGATCCCATCGATCACCGCATCCACTATCGCAGCGGAAATGGTAACCCTCCGTGCAGCGCCCGACTCCGTGATGCCACGATTTCCCCCCACTGTGTAACCGATTTCCCATTCGAGGAAAACTGCGACTCGTTGGAGGGCGGCGCGAGGAACAGCAAGAAGGAGGACAACGTGGAGGTGGAGGATGAGACAAGGGGGATCAACGTCCACGGGGAGGAGGCCCTTCCCCATGGCGTCCAGGAATTCGATGCGGGTGGAGGTCCAGATGGTGATGGCGATTGTGATGGTGATGAGGATTGTAATGGCGATAACGATTGCGATGACATGTTATCACCCGAAATGAACCAAGACGAAATGTACTCCATTTTCTGCCAAAAAAAAAACAACGGAATGGATGACATGAACAAATATCAGGACATAAAATCAAGCTATGAAAATTATTGCGATTTTTTGGCCAAAATGAATACCATAAATTTGTTAAAACATAATGGAAAATTTATACATTATGAAAATTTGAAGGACAAAAATATAAAAAAAAAAATCGATAAATTGGAACATTCCGTCCTGAAAACAAATGTGAAACATCACAAAGGGTCATATACTATTTATTACAAATTGAGACCTGGCGTGATTCAATTCTTACAAACAATGAATAGGAAATATGAAATATATCTGTACACGATGGGGACTTTGGAGCATGCGAAATCTTGTTTATTATTATTGGATCCCCTTAAGAAATTTTTTGGGAATCGAGTTTTCTCCAGGAAAGACAGTGTCAATGGGTTGAAACATTTGAATCGCATATTGCCCACATATCGCAGTGTCTCCCTCTGCATTGATGATAGTGATTACATGTGGAAGGAAAGCAGCTCGTGCATTAAAGTACATGGCTACAACTACTTCCCAGAGATTAACTTCTTAGAGGATATTAAAAGGAAGCCCTACTTTTTAACGAAGTTTTTTGCTATGGCACAGTCCTACTTGAATTTCTCATCTAACCTTTACGGATTTATTAATTTTAAATGCAGTGAATATGAAAGGATGAGAATTCATCGTTTTAGAAGCGTGTTGTACAGCGAGTGCACGAGTTGGGGCGTCCCTTACAACGGCTCAATGGCACTGGGTGGTGCGTGCCAGATGGTCGATCAGGGCTGCGCAGAGGAGGGTGAGGATGACCTCTGCGAAGGGGAGAAACTGGGGCCAATCTCTGGAGTAGCCATTGGAGTGGCCATTGGAGTATCCACCGGGGTAGCCACCGGAGTAGCCACAGGAATACCCTCTAGAACCTCTCGTGGTGACTCCTCGCAGCTGAGTGTATACCATTTCAAGGCGGAAAGCACCTCAGTGAAGGAAGAAAGGGAAGACGCGTTAGCTGTACGAAGAGGAAATTCCCTTAGTGGAAACAGCGACAGCAGCAATGAGGACGAATTGGACGAGTCCTTCGAAGACAACTTCATCGATTTAGACAAAGAATTCGAAACGGACAGTGAAGAGGGTGACATTAGTGTGATGGATCCCAAGATTGAAAGTAACTCGTGCAACCTAAATTTACAAAACGGTTTGGAATTTCTTGATGACACGCAGGATTATACCAAGGAGAAAGAAGTACCGATGCAGCATTTTAGTGGAGAGCACGTCGAAAGTACCTTTATCGTAGGAACGAAAAAAGGAATTGTTAAGAGGGACCATCTTTCGAATTTTTATCCAAATGATGATACGCCTGACCGTGTGAACAACCCCAATTTGTTCTACATGGAAAAACCTACTGAGGAAAATATAAATAATAACTTCTCTCCACAGAGTGACAATAATTTTTTTGTGAATGCAGAGGGTTTGAATGGAAGAAGCCCCACTAGTAGTGTCCCCCTGAATGATAGAAGCTGTGCAGCTGATTTGTTCCAATCGGGAGTTGCGCAGCCTGCTCCAGACGAGCACAACCAGATGGACGCGCAATTTGAGACCCCCAACCACTGCGAAGATAAAATGAATAGAACGAATAACCACATCAACAGCTATATCAACATGAACATATATATTAGCAAAGACATTGATAAAAAAAAAAATAAGAAAAAAAAAAAAAAAAACAAATGACGAAAAGAATAGGAGCAAAGTGAAGCACTATACGCGGAGAGATAACGAGTATTCTACGAACCAATTTTATCATCACTCCCTTCATGTGAGGACATCCGAAAGGTTCATTCCGTTTGAGGACGAAATTATTTACAAGTTCATTTCAGAGAGGAACTTTAGGAAGTACGATAACTATGTGGTGGGGTTTCTGCGCAGTTATTTCAAGGGGGGGAGGCTGACCCGGGGGGGTGAAGGGAAACAGGAGGGGTTCGCCGAGGGGGATGCTAGTGCGGATAATAGCATTGGTGCTGAGGTGGGTCCTCAGATAGGTGCTGGGGTAGATGCTGAGGTAGATGCTAACGTGGATGCTGAGGTAGATGCTGATGTAGATGGTGAGATAGATACTGAACCATATGCCGATATAGATGCTGACGTGGGGGACGATGAGGAGGGCCTCGCGGTTGGCGGGGAAACAGTCCGAGAGAACCCCCACAGGCGTCACCGCGAAGGAAAAGGCGACAAGGAAATTAAGACAGAAAGGGAGGACCAGCAACTCTATCGGGGGGGTCGATTCAGAGGGGAGGCCTCCTCTACGCAGAACACTATAAAGAGAGTAGAAAAAAAAATAAAAAAAACGAAAGTAAAAAAGCTAATTCATTTTGGCAATTTAAGGAAAAGAAAATCTACCGACTTGAGAACAGTCAACAAGAGTGATGACCCAAGTCAGCCTCCCCCATCGACTGGAAGGGATAGCGATCAGAATCTAGGTAAAGACGGAGCATCAAATCAAAATGAATACTACGAAAGCTTTTGTATACCCAAGAATTTCAACGAAGGAAATTATAAAGACAATGATAAGCAGCTACATTATTTAACAGCCATACTGGACGAAATACATCACATTTTTTACAAAATTTTTGAGCATTTTAAAATACATAAAACGAATGAAAGGAATGAAGAGGATCAGATATACAATTACTTTTTGCGTTACCCGATAGTTAGGACCATATTGATTGAATTCCGCAGACATGTTTTGAAGGGTACGTGCGAATAGCCTCAAATGGTTCCTTCACGTAGTTGTCTCAGTTCGCCATCAACGTGGAATGCACAGCGTCGAGGTGGTCAATCTGTGTGTATACACATGCATATGCATAAGCACTTTTTTGTGAATCTCTTCTTTTTTTCTTTTTTTACCACACCCGCATACATCTCTCCTTACCACGTGTTACGCTTTCTCCCCCCACAGACTGCACCTTCAACGTTTCGCAACTGTCCGATGAGATACGGAGGAGCGATTTTATGGATCACATTTTGAAGTTAGGCGGAACCATAAACAATGAAAACTACACGCACATTTTAACAGTAAACAATTTCATAAAAAATGAGAATTGGAAAGATGCCAAGGTTACAAATTTGATGTGGATTGAACGAGCCTTGTACACATGGACGTAGGGAATCATTTTAAATGAATTTACTTCATCCACTTCCGCTGAGGAAGAACGCATAATGTGCATATAATATGAGGGAGGAGTGGGGATAGTGTTATAATGCGTGTATTCCCCTCCCCCATTCCTCATACGCCTTCATTCGACTGTGTCGTAGCAGTTTTTTTATGTCAATATTTACCGCATTTGGCTTATGTTCTTCCTCCCCTTGCAGGAAGGTCGACACGAAGCATTACGACATGAGCTCGTGGGACAAAATGCACAGAAACTTCTGGGACGTCATTGAATATGAAGAAAAAAAGAAGAAAAAAATGAAGTCAAGTGTGTCGAAGTGAGTCTAAATGCACTCAAGCGAAGCAAAGTGAAAAAATTACCTACTCCCTGTTGGGAACGCGAGGCGGATTTGTTCCTCCACCGTCGCTTTGCCCCTTTTAAAAAATTGAGGCAGTTTGCACGACGTGATTTGTTTTCACCATCGTTTCGTCACATCTACACGTCGCTTTTTTTTTTTTTTTTCTTAACACACGGGCGACATCCACTCCTGTCAGTACGCTTTACTTGGGTGTAAGTTTGCCCACAATGTGTATGTATGCGTGGTGCGGGTATCGCCATATGCTTTATTAAAACAAAAGGTGATACGGAAGATAATCATTTCTTTTTTTTTTTTTTTGTCATGGCTGGGAAGCGAGAATGCCTGCGGTGTATGCATTACGCCCCTTTGTTTGCCCCATCTTACTTGTTATTTTTTTGGCCCATTTTAGTTGTCATTTTTTTGCCCCATTTTAATTGCCATTTTTTATGTGTTCCCGTTAAGTGCTTTCCTGCGGCGTGACCGCTGGCCGCCATACACGCCCAGCGGGTGAGCACATGATTGATTTATGTGAACCCCGCACATTCAATTTGTGAACCGAGGCTTAGTACCAGTAAAACTTTCTCACTTCACCTCTCATATGATGATTTGAAAACGTACTGCGCAAAAAAAAAAGAAAAGAAAAATTTTCACTCCTTGTATGGCCATGTAACCAGTTGTGAAAACACCCCACGGTTGTAGCGCGGAGCAAGGAGGAGAAACAAACTGCACACATGGAAGGCAGCCGGCAAGCAAGCAGCATACAGGCGCCAAAGCAGATGCAACCAAACTGCGTAAATTACATGAAACACCGCGCAAGCACCATGCTGACGTCGCCCAAGCTGGCCGCGTTCTCCAGGTAACTTTCTCCTTAAGGGACACGAGGCAGAAGTATGAAAATTAGCCCCATAAGGAGAAAGGTGAACTCCTCACTGATCGTGAGCAAAAGAATCCCCTCGTACTTAAAAAAGGAAAAAATCAGTTTAAGCAAAAATAATGGCAGTTTTGACAAAAAAAGCGTCAAATATAATCAAGTTCCACAATTTGTTCAGGCAATAATAAAGTTTACGAAAAAAAATAAACTGCTCCAAGAGGAAGATAACAGTGTAATAAGCAAAAACAAACTCATTTTTTTAAATAATTTGTTGAGTGAAATTCAAAAGAATAAAACCCTTCTAACGTCATCGTCCATACACGACATATATCGATGTCTGTACAAACTCAATTACTTAAAAATAGACGTCATCTGTACTCTCTTTAGTATACTCATAAATAACGCACTAAATTTTTCCAAAATAACTGGCTATGTTCATTGCGATTTCAAAGAATTGATAAACATTACAAAATTTTTGCACCATTTCCAGAAAATATGTAATTCAAATATTCAGGCGATTATACACGACACCCATGACAGTGGTAACCTCCGAATTGTGCAGAGGTACCTGAGGGAGCATGGGAAAAAAAGTGGCCCCTCCCTTGGAGGCACATATAATAGTGGCGAAGTATACACACACGTTTATAACTACATTGCAAAATATGACAGGGTTGACAATGTAGACATTCTTTTGTATTCCCTCATAAAGGGGAAACAGACGAATGTTGCTACAGGGGTGGGATCATACGTAGAAGTGACGACGAACGGGTGTTCTTCTCTTGGGGAGGGACCCTTGTTAGATAGCCCCAAGGGAGCTTCCCAGAAAGAGTGCTCCCTTAGGGGCTGTAAAAATGAAGCAGTTGGAGATTTCCCCTCGAATGGGGCCAACCAAAAGGAGGGCAGCGCCATAGAGGAAGAGGCGGCGCAGAAGGAAAATCACTTCAAATTGACCAACGGGGAAAAGACGACGAAGCAGGAAAATCACTTCAGCTTAACCAACGGAGAAGAAGCGAAGAAAACGCTGCTAGTTGACTACATAAATTCGTTTTACAAACTAAACGACATGTTCACCTTCCTTCTAAATAAAGTGTTAAGATATTTCAACGAACACGCCCTGAGCTTTAATTTCTACCATTTAAAGCTTCTGTTTTTCTTTTTGGGGAAGTTTCAAATGTTTGACGCACACTTGATGGAAAAAATCACCAACAGGATTATCGAAGAGATCGAAAGGATAAAAACGAATCCGAAGCTCCTACATGATGATACCTCCATAGAGGAAAGGAATAAGCATAACTACGCAAAGAAGAGAATTAAAAAGCTCAGGAAAAAATATCTCAACACATTTATTAAGATAGACTCGAAGGAATTCCTAACCCTTCCATACACAATCGGGTTATCCATGAATATATACTTTAATAACTACCTAATAGAATATGTCAATATTTATATCCTTAGCTTAATTAACTCCAGAGTCCACTGCGACATGGTAAATTTTACCTACTGCCTGGTAGGGTATAAGTACATTATGGTGCACTTTTTTCTTCTCTTCAATATATTTTTGTTTAAAGAAAAATGTATGAAGAATTCAAAACTATTGGAGAAATATAGCATCTTTTTGCGACGATTGGGGAAGGATGCCACTCTGAGTGGAAGCGGCCAGTTGGGGAGGGCACACTCGGCAGGCCCAAGTGAAGAAGCGAAAATTTTCCTTCCCAGTAGTAGTATCAAACAGGATGGACCTACGCGAAATATCCTGAACAGGGAAGAAAAACTTACCAATCGTGGAGCCCACGTCAAAATGTGCAAGACCTCAAACGAAGAAAAAAACTGCATGACCACTTTGACATGTACCCAGGCAGACCACACTGATCGGAGAGGCAAGACGGGGTGGTACACAAACCCTGAGGAGACCTTCAACGTACTCCTAGGGGAGTTCCAAATGAGAGTAGAAAATATCTTCCTAATAAACTTGGATAAACATTCCATGGAACAATCATATAACAGCGAACAGCTTCGGAAATTTTATTTGCACTACAAAAAATTATTCGAGAAAGTATTCAATTACGCCATTTTTCTCCTAAGCAAATATGAACCTGAGGAAATGCTGCCCATTTACAAAAATTTGGAAGCCCATGCGCTAAACGACCAGGTTGTGAAGCAGCTGTACGTGGAAGTGCTCTACGAGAAGGTTGCTTTTAATTCGGGAAATGAAAAAAAAGTTTCAAGTTTGTTGCGGTGCGTTTGCGCTGAATAGGGGGAGGAGGCAAAATGAGCCAGAGAAATGAAGCAGAAAAATGAGGCAGCAGAATGAAGCAACAAAATGATGCGGCAGAATAGTAGCAGAAGGCAGCAGATAGCAGCAAAACATAGAAACAAGGGGACGTTCCTTAAAAAAAACGCCATTTAAAAAGTGTCATCGGAAACACATGCATTGAGACTGCCGTTTGGTCGTAAGCAAGTAGCTAATCATACACACAAATGTATGTACGCGCGCGCGAGGGGGGTAGGTACACACATACGTACACATATATATACATATATGCCCGTACACATGTCTGCTCTGCTGCGAAAGGAGTAGAAGGGTGATGCTCCACAGAGGAAAAGTTCAACGTGGTGCAAGGCAATTCGACCAAGATAAACATAGAATCGAATAGAAACATCAACAAAGAATGACAAGTAACGATTTTAGTGTGAGTACATGCAAGAAGGGGAAAGAGGGTGCGACCGCACCTTCGGTCGCACGTTGCAGCAGAGGATCGATTGTATATGTGCTCACACACGTGCAGACCTCACGGGGAGGGTGACATTCCAATGAACACTTTTTTCACAACAAGACAGTGTAAAAACTGAACGAATTTGTATCTCACGAAATGGGATTTCTAGGTCTGCAAACGGGGATTTATTGGAATGGCGACGGTCACGTGGGCGCGATGTGTGTCCATAAGTGCGTACTTATGTACGTATATAAGTATGTGCTCTCGTTTATACACATTTGTACATACGCTAGTGATCACCTGTGGACGGGCGAGCACCATCGTTCACAACGCGCACAAGGCACGAAACATCATATGTACCCACCAGGCACGTACGTCATTAGGAATAAAGAAAAGGGGCGGCACCGCTAACCGATGTATATATATGCATCTATGCATGCATATAAATATCTTCATCGCACATAGTCCTCTTTAAGCGTAATGCCAAACTCAAAAAAAGGGGAACAATTTGCGGGCGAAATGAGTGCCTCGAATCTATACGCCTCATATGCTCCTGAATGTGCGCGCGTGAGTATACGTACCACCGTGCTAACAAAGCGGAAGTGAACGCACAAGCGCACCCGCACCCTTCCGAAGGTGCCTCCTCCGTGTATTCCTTACCCATGCAACGGCTCCTTACCCTCTAGGCCTGCTACCTCTTTCCGGGGTCTGTCCTTCTCCCCATCGTATACCAAACAGTACGAAAAATTAGTCAAAGCTGTGGGACGAAATTTTAAACATGTCTCCCCCAATATGCTCATTAAAGCGCAGCTTGTAAATTATCCCATTTGAACAAATAACGATAATGCAATTTTGATCATTTACAAAGGCACAAATGGAGGAAATTTTCTTCCCAGGGATTTTGTACGTTGCAAAGCTCCATTCGCTATTTAAGTAGGGATGACATGGCAACAAGCATTTCAAACTGGATTTTTTATTTTTGGACTCTTTTTCATAATTCAGTAACGCTGGGGGGGATAAATTCTTGCCCTTACATATAATATCCACTTTTCGTAAAGGCCTCTTCTTCTTGTATATAGAAAATACATGTACTGTATTTGTACTGGACGTTAAGCATAACCAGTTGTTATCTTCACTAATATTTAGTGAAAAAATTTTGGCATTTTTTGTACCCCTCCTAAATTCATTTAGGAGAGTTCCATCAAATGTATTAAATAGTCTTATGATGGTCCCCTTAGTGGATGAAGTGACTAATAATTTGCCATCATTGCTTAAGTTAATACATGCTATTGAACTGTCATGGGCATATATACTCAGATTTGTCTTAAAATTTATATAGGGTAATTCTTCGTGAATATTTTCACTGGAATTTATTTCGAAGATGTGTATATTCACTCGACCCTTTATGGGGGACAAATAGGCTATGATAATATTTTTATCGATATTGGACAAGCAACATAAACCTGATACATTTTTTGATGTATTTAATGTTTCCAATAAAATGATATCTTTAAGCCTGTATATACATAACTTATATTCCAATATTACCACGATGATTTCTCTTAGTAGCCTCACTCCAATGATATTGGATGAAAATGTTAACTTGGCTATTTCTCTCATTTGTCTATCATCCCAAATTATTAAAACATTTTTGGCCCACTTTCCTTTCTTATCATTTTTGTTCCCTGTGATAGCGAGGATGTTGCATCGGTACAGCATCTCAGCTAGGTACAGTCCATTCTTATTCCGGTCGGTTAAATCTGCGGGATGGGAAAAGATAAGTTCATCGGGCTGTCATCCACACAGGTTGCTTCCCTATGAAGGTGCTCACATCCACACACAAGAGGAAATTATTCCTGCTCACGCGCTCATTCGACATTACGCACACATAACAACGCGTATGTACTACACTTTTCTTTGCACTTGTCCGGTGTCTCTCTGGAAGGGAATGGGGCATGGGCCCACAGACTTACCTCTACTATACGTCTGAGTAAACGGATTGGTGTTGTAAATCTTAAAACCCTTTTCATTGGCCATACACAGGCAACCATAGTCCTGATTAAACGCTATATATCTGTTATTATCTAATCTCAACGACACCATTTTGCTTTTTTTTTTTTTTTTTTCTTACAAACAAATTGAACAGTAATGACGCGAACATACAACATGCGCGTGGCGACGTGCCAGTGGCATCTAGCGGCAAAACTGGCCTACGCGTATATGATGCATCTACAACAGGTAGGCCGTAGAGGCTAGTTTACCGTGCCGTCCGTATGCGTGGCGGCCTATAGGGGGGGTAGCAGCCAATTCTCCTACAGGTCAATACGCGCAGAAGCCAACATGAGTGAAGCTTATGCGCGCAAATACATATGGCACATAAGTACACCAGGCATCGACGGAGGAAGAGGAGGCGAAGGCTAAAACCAAATGGTTTTCAAACATATATTACTTACAGTGCCTCTTCTATAGCAATAAAGCAGAAAAAAAAAATTCGTTGCTTATTTTCTCATCTACATTATTTAAAAATTGCTCCTCCAAAAGTATTAGGAGAAGAACATATGTACAATCTTATAAATCACAAACGGTAAAAATGAAAAAGAAGAAAAAAAATCGTGTCATTACGAAAATGGGTTACTAAAACAATTTTCGAAACTTCTAGGGTGCAAGCCCGCCTCTCCCCGCTCAGTCAAAGATGTACATAAAGATGTATATGTAATACATTGCGAGAAAAAATAAAAAATTGTGGTGCAAAAGGCGTTAAATAAAGCGTCATATGCATTTTAGAGGAAGTAAAAAACGGCACAAGAAATGAATACAATGTTGCGCTAAAAAAAATCAATTTAGAAAGTCAAAAAATGTAAGCAAGATGTACGCATATGCATATGTACATATTATACATATGCATATATTGCATGTGAATATACGTAACCGTGTGGCGATGGGTGGCGCGCAGTCGACAACCGCTGCGTTATCGGCACGAGGAGCGTATGCGGTGAGAGTAGTGTATATATACGTGCGGACACAGATGGGAATCTCGGCGTGGCGCGCCATTGGTAAGTAATATAATGTATACTGTGCTGGGTCTGAAAGGGCTGCGACCGGGAAAAAATGGGAAGAAATAAGGAAAGAGGGGGGCTGGAAGGAGAAAAAATGCAGAAAAAAAACGCAAAGGCGAAAAAATAAAAACGTAAGAAATAACAACTGAAAAAGTGATAGATCAAAATGTTGGGACAGGATAAGTCAAGGCGCGAGGAATGTCACATTTTAATGTTCAATTCATAATTCACCAAAGAGGCACCCTTTTATAGCGTCCAAAAAAATAAAAAAAAAAAAGAGGCCTAAAGGGAATAATATGTTGTGTGCTATCCGTTATAAGCGAAGAAGTACACTTATTTACGCAGAACATAGAAGAACATTTTTTTTTTTTTTGCCCTCTGTATAGACTGCGTTTCGTTTTCTTTTATGATATGTCATGATATGACGAAGGTAAGCTCCAGCCATTACAAGAGTTGTGCTAGGCCAGGTGCATGAGAGTAGCGTGTAAGCGTACGTGCGCATAAGTGTTCGTACGTACTACCCATGTGTATAACTTTACATACACATTTTTACGCAGATATAAAAGTAGGCTCTGCTGCGGGTTGGCCGAGCAACGAACCCGTACTCGTTCTGCCGAAGCATTTATTTCTTCCCGTGAAGGGAAAAAAACATAATCCAGGTATCCCCATTTTGGCATTAATTAAAAACGTTTGTGTAATCTGCAAAATGCGCTAAAGTGTATGATGAAGTTAAATAGGAGCCACGAAAGAACCTGCTATGTTTGAGTTCGCCACGAATGGTAATGCGATTTATAACGGACGCCGAGTGTTTAATTCATGTGCATATGCGGAGCTCTATATGTGTGACTCTGCACGTGTGTAGCCGTCGTATGGACATTCCTCCTTTTTGCTCATTCACCAGAATACGCATTACAAAGAGCACTCTTATCTACTTTGCCGTATTGTCGAAAATTTGAGGCAATTATCTGTAGTATATATTTCCTTTTTTTTGAGTTAATTTTTTGGTCTTTTTGGTGCTTTTTTTTTTTTTTTTGCTCCTGTGCCCTTGCTTCATCCCTCCGCCCATACATGCGCCCTCCTCCAAATGCGTGCATGTAATGTACAAGTTCTTGTTAGACACTTGTGCACATGATGAAGTCGCGTTTTTGCCATACACAATTTTCTCAGTATGTCCCTTTTCGCAAAACGGTGAAATAGGACACATTTACCGTTTTTTTTTTCTTCTTTTTTTGCAGTTTTCTTATATTGTTTTATCTCCCCTTAAATGACCGCTGAATTTTGGCTCAGGTGTTGTACAACACTGTGTTATGTCAGTTTATAATTTTATTATTTTTTTTTTTTCCATGCAATAATCGCATTACCATCGTGAGAAAGGTTTGTCATTTATTGTGAACATTTTTTGTAAAAAATAAAGCCAAGCGAAGGAGCAAAGCGGCAAAACAGCATATGGGTCAAATAGCAAAACAACCACGGGAAACAAACTA